TTCAAAACGGTAATATTGTGACATTTTATTACAATTTCAAATAACTATTTTGTATTTGAATATACTTTCAGATGTAATTTATTCCTGTGATGCAAAGCTGAATTTTCAGCATCATTACTCCAGTCTTCAGTGTCACATGATCCTTCAGAAATCATTCTAATATGCTGATTTGCTTCTCAAGCATTTCTTTTTATTATCAACATTGAAAACAGTTGTGACACCTATACTATTTTTGTAGATTTTTTTCACATTTATTTGAACATTGATTTGATTTATTTGAACATTCATTTAAAATAGATTTTTTGTGTAACATTACAAATGTCTTTACTGTCACTTTTGATCAGTTTAATGAATAAAAGTATTGTAAACTGTCCTGACCCCAAATGTTTGAACAGTAGTCTATAGTTGCATCTACATATTAAACTGGTTTTTATATTATTTAACATAAAAAATAACCTTTAAAATGTGGCCTCACCTGTGACGGACAGTGTGATGGCATCAGGAGAGGTCCATCGGCCCTGCTGGTTGTCGGTCTCGAATCTGAAATGGTACGTTCCTGCATCGCTCAGCTTCGCGTTCGTGATCTGCAAACTGCATCTTTTGTGGCCCCCCATGTATTTGATCCTGTCCCTGTACGAGGGGCTCAACAGATTCCCATCAGTATGGTAGGCAACATCCCGTCGGCCCTCTGCAGAGATGTGAAACCACATGACCCGCGTAGAGCTGTAGGGCGAGGGGTAATCGTAGCGGCACGGCAGTGTTACTGTGGTCCCGGCCCAAACGCAGATGTCTGTCCTAGAGAAATACACCAGCCATTTACTTTCCCCGACTCCTATAAAGCAACACAAGAGTAATCAGAGGCCGGTATTGACCTTAGCAAGGTGTGTGCTGTTGACCCCAGGGATAAAAGCAGGAAAAAATACAGATCAATACAATATAAATAACCTGTGCACCAAGGGCACTCAGGTAATATAAGAGCACAGATTAGAGCTGCAATACGCAATCACAACCATTTTATTGTATTAAAAACACAAGATACCTGTCCAAAATTACCTGCAACATGCTAAATTATTTTAGGAACAGGAAAGTGGGTTTTCTCCACAATTATATGCAAATCAACAACAAAAGAAAAAAAGTTGTAAATGTTTCTGTAATTGCTAGATTTTCTACAGAAAATGTGTGCAAAACTTTTGCTACAGTTAGAAGATGTTGCCAGGCTGTTGCTTTGTGGTTACTAGTGCGTTTCTAGGTGGTTGTGTAAGTAACACCCCAAATGTTTGAACAGTAGTCTATAGTTGCATCTACATATTAAACTGGTTTTTATATTATTTAACATAAAAAATAACCTTTAAAATGTGGCCTCACCTGTGACGGACAGTGTGATGGCATCAGGAGAGGTCCATCGGCCCTGCTGGTTGTCGGTCTCGAATCTGAAATGGTACGTTCCTGCATCGCTCAGCTTCGCGTTCGTGATCTGCAAACTGCATCTTTTGTGGCCCCCCATGTATTTGATCCTGTCCCTGTACGAGGGGCTCAACAGATTCCCATCAGTATGGTAGGCGATTTCCCGTCGGCCTTCTGCAGAGATGTGAAACCATGTGACCCGTGTGGAGCTGTAGGGCGAGGGGTAATCATAGCGGCACGGCAGCGTTACCGTGGTCCCGGCCCAAACGCAGATGTCCGTCCTGGAGAAATACACCAGCCATTTACTTGCCCCGACTCCTATAAAGCAACAGAAGAGTAATCAGAGGCCGGGTATTGACCTTAGTAAGGAGTGTGCTGTTGACTCCAGTGGAAAAAAAAAAACAGGAAAAAACACAGATCGATACATTATAAATAACCTGTGCACCAAGGACACTCAGGTAACATAAGAGCACAGAATAGAGTCAGAGTAGCTGCAATATGCATCCATTTATCTGTATAAAAACACAAGATATCTGTCCAAAATTACCTGACAGAAGAAGCACAGAGGTCACAATTATGTGCACCCACATCTCAGCCCTGTTTGTGTGTAAAAAGAAGAAAGACTGTAAGTAACTTCAAGAATAATCAAGAAATTAGTAGCCTACCTGGTTTTGATGTAACACTACCTGTTTCTGATGTTCTTCAGCAAGCGCTGCCAGCCGTCTGTGGACGCATGGACCCACACATGTGTTGAAGAGGGAGCTGAATGACACCAGACGCACAGTGTGGGATGCTGAGCCAGAGAAAGCAGAAGTTGAAGGGTGGTGACAGGCTGGCCATCCCACTGTCTCACCTCCCGTCTCTCTGAGCCTCTAAACTCTGTCCCTGTCTCCAGTGAAACTCTACGCCACCATCAGCAAGGTGCACAGGGCAATAACCACAAGTTGCTGACATCCACATCCCTCATATTCACACACAAAACATGTTAAAAGGAAATGAGGCAGCAGGAAACATGTCTTTTAAAACACATTCACTTTGCCGCCTTCCTTAATTAAAAAAAATCAATCTTTTCTTATGTTAAAGGCTAGAAATGGTTTCTTAGCCCTGCCATTTTTCAGAAAGTTGTTTACAATTTTATGAAAGGGAACGTATCGTTTTTGTGCTTACAATGATTAATTATTAGCGTAACTTCAAAGAATCTGTTTTGGAGGTGTCAAGAGAATTCAAAAATATTAAAAACCAAAAGTAACCACAGATTTTTATGAAAGTGAACCATGGGTTTACCACAGCAATCGTAGAGTAACTAATCCCACTGTCTCACCTCCCGTCTCTCTGAGCCTCTAAACCCTGTCCCTGTCTCCAGTGAAACTCTACGCCACCTTCAGCGAGGTGCACAGGGCAATAACCACAAGTTGCTGACATCCACATCCCTCATATTCACACACAAAACATGTTAAAAGGAAATGAGGCAGCAGGAAACATGTCTTTTAAAACACATTCACTTTGCCGCCTTCCTTAATTAAAAAAAATCAATCTTTTCTTATGTTAAAGGCTAGAAATGGTTTCTTAGCCCTGCCATTTTTCAGAAAGTTGTTTACAATTTTATGAAAGGGAACGTATCGTTTTTGTGCTTACAATGATTAATTATTAGCGTAACTTCAAAGAATCTGTTTTGGAGGTGTCAAGAGAATTAAAAAAAAAAAAAATGTAACCACATATTTTTTTATGAAAATGAACCATGGGTTTACCACAGCAATCATAGAGTAACTTATGTATTCACACTAAAACCAGTAACCACAATACTTAACTAAAATTATCTATGGTTTTACTACAGGAACAAGAGTTTAACTGTGGTAGTTAAATAGCTGAAACCACAAGTAAAACTCCCTTTTACTACTGAGATTTGACTACAGAAACATGTTTAACTGTGGGATTTGTTGAAGTAAAACTACCTTTTATAGAAATAAACTATGGTTTTATTACAGGAACAAGAGTTGTACTGTAGTATTTGTTGTGAAGGCATAGTAACTCTCCTATAGGAAAATCCATTTTGCTATAGTGTGCTCATGGTTGTGAATTCATCAATGTAACTACGATTACAGCCTCACCGTGGTGTGAAGACAATAAGATTATGTTATTAAAACACCGCAGCGACCTCTTGTGGTAAAAAAAAAAAATAAATAATCAAATACCATTTCTTAAAGAGAAACATTCGTTAAATGAAAACATAATGAGTGTGACTTTAAATCTGTCAGATGGGACACTGATATATATTTTGTCTGCTTACATCAACTAATATGCACGACTATTCAAATTTAGGCCTATATGTTTACATTTTCTTAGTCTTAAGCTGTAATTGCAGAAAATACAGTCTAAAAGCAACGTGATTCGTAATATAAGATGAAAGGGGCGGAACAGACGTTTCTAAATTATGCCACCCTATACTTTTCTGAGGACAAAAACTAATCCTAGAAGGGAAGTTCAGAAGAAGGAAATTAATAAAGAAATTCTTACTTTGCTGAATTAACTGCTTAATAAGCAGATCAAGCTTGGCTTCAAACTGCCATCAGCATTAATACGAAGTTTCAGACAGAAGCACAGAATCGATTTTATTTTATTTTATTACGAGTGATTTTGAAGCATTTCTTAAAGTTACAAAATAAAACCTACTAAAAGGACAATAATCGTTCTTATAATAATTGTTCTGATAGACGTTTCGTGTTGTTTTGCGTGTAGGTTCCCCGTGCTTATGAATATTAATTAGATCAATCGCACTTCCAGAAGGGCTTTTTTTTTATTTTTTTTTTTTTTTTATTAAACATAGAATACAAGAACTCATAGAGGTAACAGCATAGAATAAAATCAAATACAATAACAATCAGCATCAAACCGTAAGGGGATCCACAATACATGTAAGGCAAAAAAAAACAAACAAAAAAACGATTGATTGATTGTTTTGTTTTCTTTTAAGCGAAATGTGAAAAAAAAGGCAACTATTCAAACACAGAACTCGTGCATGGACTTCATGCATATAGAAATACAACACAAACAAAGAAGATTGAATATATGGCATGCTACGTTTGATTGTCAACTTTTCTTAATCTTCAGTTTTATGTCCTGAATATATATATACTTTTTTAGTGTTTCTCCAAAGTAATCTCAGTGAGGAGTAGAATAGTTTAAATTCGTTCAACACTTCCAGAAGGGCTGTACTTTGTTTGTAACCAAAAGTATCCGAATTCATATTCACAAACGAAATCGCTTCCGGTGTTCAGATGCGGTTATTTCACTCGTGCTGCATTTATCTGTATAATGGTAGTAAATTAAAAATTGGTTTCCTTCAGGAGGCGCACTGGCGCTCAGGATGCCGAGCACTCCATTGACGCCATTCAAAACTCAGGATATTTTAGTGCTTAATTAGAGACAACTGTACAGTAAAACGTTTGCATATTTTAAATACATAAATTCCAAGGATTGCTATCCGGCATTCAAATGGAAATCCGCCCCAGCAATCGCTACAAAAAAATATTTAAAAAAATACCTGAGCAACTCACCACAATCGACTGTGATTGGTTCCTCCTGATTGGCGCTGAGAAAAGTAACAGTTACCTCGTGACAAAGTCTCCTTCGTACTGTTTTACCAGCGCTGTGAATAATATTAAAAACACGAATAATGACACTGAAAAACTTTAATAGCATTGAATTGAAAATGCACAGTGGAAAGTTCAAATAAGAAAATAATTATTACCCGACCCACAAAGAAAACAAATGCTCAGTCACCAATCCCCTCCCATTACGATTACACCTAAATGCCATTCTATCCACTAAATAATTCTATGTCCGCATGTGAAACTAATGGACCTGCTGCAGTTGACAACACGAGGAATTAAGTTTCGCTCTCTGATGGACTGACAATATCCACGTTTTCGCTATCAGCAGCACGCCTGCCTTCCATTGAGGTAAGGTTCAAATTTATGTCCAACTTGTATACCGATGATAATTTATTAGCTATTTGTAGTTCAGTCATGCAGTTTGTTATTAGACCATAAGCAATATAACTCGTATATTAAAACGTAAGTATTAAGTGCAATAAACCGCTATGCCAGAGTGAATATTTAGATTGTTAACGTGCAGTTTTGCAACCGAGTTAAAGTGATGATGAGAAGAGTTGTTATTGTATTTGAACATTTGATGTACACTAAATTAATGCTGTAGTCTTTCAGGTTCTTTCACTTCCATCATGTTGTTTCATGTCCTGCTCCTCCTTCATGCGTCAGGAGTTGCTTCTTCCTCCATCTCGTGTTATGATGATCAGGGGAAACCTGTAGACTGGTTTGTATATTTTATATATTTTTTAAATGACCTAAAAACACAATACATGCAGCATCTTGAATCACAGTTGTAGAGGCACGGCAGTTCATCTTTGTACACTGTCATGTATGTTTTATTCTGTATTTTATTATACAATATTCCATAGTTTGAAGTCCTAGTGTTATATATATTTTCTATGATCATGATGGGTAGTTGACATGGCATGTCAAGCAGTGTCCAGTGTACACTACTGTTCAAAAGTTTGGGGTCAGTCAAATGTGACAGTAAAAGGTGCAAGTGTCAGTAAAGACATTTATAATATTAGAAAGACGTATTTCAAATAAATGCTCATTCTATTCATCAAAGAAAAACAGGATTCCACAAATTATTAAGCAGCACAATTGTTTTCAACACTGATAATAATAAAAATGTTTCTTATTAGAATGATTTCAGAAGGATCATGTGACACTGAAGACTGGAGTAATGATGCTGAAAATTCAGCTTTGATCACAGGAATAAATTACATTTTAAAATATATTCAAATAGAATTTTTTTTTTTAGATTGTAATAATATTTCAAAATATCACTGATTAAATGAATACAGTCTTGGTGACCATAAGTCTTTAAAAAAAAAAAAAAAAAGATGACCCCAGACTTTTGAATGGTAGTGTACTTAAGCTAAAACTACTTAAAATAACTTTATTTTTGAGTTATTTGAGTTGTTGTATATGCAGTTTCATGACCTTATATTAATTAACTTCACAGCAGAACAATATAAGTAAACAGAAATGGCTACTTAATGTAGCCTAATAGTATTTGTATTAATATTAATAATATAATATTTTTATAGAACAAATGTAATATAATTTATTATAGGTTAATTATTTTCTCTGTTAATTTACAGTAGAGAGATATTTTATTGTTATATTTGGTGTAGGATTCACTTTGAATATTTTCACGCAGAAATTGCTAGTAAAGTTCACAAATAACTACACAGAAACCATAAGTAACATTGAATTTAACATGAAAGTTTGAAGTAGAAAAACTGAAATGGTGTATTTTCTTGTAACACATATTTCTATAATCTTTGTTTTATTTACAAGAAGAATTAAATCTTTTACAGTGTGGGTTAATACATAAATATAGTCGATGTAAAATGTAATCATCGATGTGAAGGGTCATATTTCCCTTATTTCTGTCTCTCCTTACCAGGTTTTACTTGTACAAACTCCCACACCCGCATCATGAGCCTGTGCAGGAGGGGCTGAAGTATCTTTTCATGGATGGAGAGAGTGAGGGATGGATGGATGGGAAGACTTTAGTTAATGACAGTCAAAGTGCTGTTGGTAGAACAGTAGGGCCTTTATATGAGGTACAGGTCACACTCTTTACATAACAAATTATCTAAATTAAAAAAATGAAACATTCAGATCTGTTTAAACCATCTTCTGT